TCGATCGTTTCGAATAGTCATTCGATTTCAATACACTCAGGTTCACCCTTGTCCCTTTCTGTCTCGGTTGTTTTCATTATTTCGAGTTTTGATGCGCAAACCGCGGATTTGTACAGAAATTTGTACATTTGACTGAGTGGGGGAAACTCGTCTTTTTTAATAGTTGTCTCCCACCTTTCTAATACGCTCTTTGGTAGCTTGTTTTCTAAGATGGTGATAACCATTTCGGGATTGATGGAAAACCCCAATGTGTTTAGTGATGCCACATGTTGTTGCGCAGCGTCTGCGAGCTTGAATAAATCGCTTGTGGATTCTTCAACTAATGTCGGTAAATTTAAGAGTAGCGATAAATGACGTGATATTAGAATCCGCTTCACATCATACCTGGCTTCATACGCCCGTTCGAGTAATTCCCACGCCTTGGTGTAATTTAGGTTTTTCATCGCGAAAATACGTATTTTACTAGCGGCTTCGCCGGTTAATGCCAGTTTCAGATAGTTTAGCTTGTCTGCATCGGACAGATCGGTCTGTGATCCTATCATGCTATAAAATGCGTTTTTGAACGACAACCAGTTCTCATATTTGCCGTCGAATGTCGGTAACGACGCTTTGGGTAATTCAATCAGTTGTTTTTTAATCAATGTCGCGGATCCGATATCATCGGTATGCGTCTCATCGATCGAAGCGCTGGTACTTGCTTCCGAAACGTTGGACGGGTGTAAGGTGTTCTCGACACCTATGAGAGCGTTATATAGTTCTTGTATGTTCGCGAATTCGGTTTGACGTATTTCATTCGGATCTAGTGCCGCGATAACGTCAATATAATCTTCAAATGCGTGATATGATTCGTTCAAATGATTCATTCTTAATTTTAGTGATACATCATCCACTGTGCTATTGTCGAGGATTTACTCGTAACGGTTACGAGTAACGAATTAACAGAGGATATCGTCAATGGGAAGGAAATCACATTAATACCATATAGATTCATAAAATATAATTATTTCAATAAGGTGACCGCGGATTCAGTCGAATAATATGACAAATTAGAATCTTCAAACATGTACAAAATCATATCTCCGTCGATTATACATAAGAGTTATACAAAATG